GAAATAAGATTGCTAAGTTAAATATAAGACTGGTCAACTTTCTAGGACAATAAAACCAAAACACCTTAGTGGTTAACTTCTCTATTGGGCAATAAAGCCTCTTATTTTATCGATTTCTGTAGGTTAGCCACTAATCACTAACTAGAGACTGTAAAAGTCTCCACCCTTTATCAGCTGTAGTTCACGTATCAAATATACTATGACAACAAAGTCATTCCCCAGGAGAAGCAGGTGAATGTCAAGCTTTTTAAATTTTTTTAAAATTTATTTTAGAGAGGGGAGGGGGAGAGAAAGACAGGGAAAGAAACACTAATGTAGGGTTGCCTCTCACAGGCCCCCCAACAGAGGACCTGGACCGAAACCCAGGCATGTGCCCTGACTGGGAATCCAACCAGCAAGCCTTTGGTTCCCAGGCCGGCGCTCGGTCCACTGAGCCACACCAGCCAGGGCTCAAGCAAGCTTTTTAGACAATGTTCTAGTATTGATTCCAAAAAACATGAAAAAAATCAATCCTCATTTTACCTTTTCCAAGTTTGCAGGACTTATTCTTTCACAGAAGGGAAGAACTCCTCTATCACACTTTGGAGATAAGCTACCTGAGTTACTCTCTAGCAATAGGACCTTGAACAAATTACTAACCTTCTCAGGACATCAGTTTTCTTGTCCATAAAATGGGAATCGTTATACTGTGATAATATTATTTCTCCCATGCATAAGAACACAAGATGGGGTACTTTTAAAAATTATTCAAAATGCTGGTCTGACAATGGTTGATTAATACTTGCCAATCTTCTTACTTCCAGGTTTAAGTCTGACCATTGTGAGACTGGGGGTAAGAGTCTGCACAAGCTAAAATCGGACCCGGCCTATCCTGGCTGTGATCAGAATAGAAGCAGGATCAGAGACAGCAAGCCAACAGGCCTGGGAGAATGAGAAGGGCTGATAAAATGCGGAGGCAGGGTCTCCAGGTATTTTAGACTCCAGTAGTAGTTAGACTACTCCAGGTGTAGTCTAACAAAAATACAGTTTAAATGGTCCACTTGAATATAGCCGTGAACTGACTGTACAAACAAAATGATAGGCGACATGGTTATTAATAAGTGAAATATAATTGTTAGTGTTGGCCAGGTAGCTCCCCTGGTTATTGTCCTGATACACCAAGGTTACAGGGTTTTTTTGTTTGTTTGTTTTTTTACCAAGGTTACAGGTTTGATCCCCAAAGACAGCACATACAAGAATCAGCCAATAAATGCGTAAATAAGTGGAGCAACAAACTGATGTTCCTCTTTCTCTAAAATCAATAAATGAAAAGAAAACTAAAAATATATATAATTGTTGAATCTTACTAACCATAAAAATAGCTTCTATCTGTCCACTTTACCCTCCCCTGTCTCTGAAGTAGACAGGACAGGTATTGCCCCACTAGACCAAACATGTGATAAAGTCAGAAACCACATAAGGTCATTTAATTCTCTCCTTTACACAGTTCACTGCACACAGAGGCCCTTTAGTGAAGGACTTCGGAGACGAACTAGCCTGATGCCTGCCCCCCAACAACGCCCTCAGAATAGAGACGAGTGTTGAACCTGAATGCTTGCCAGGTTGAGATGACAACGTGATGTCCCTAATCCATTCCTTCAGGAACTTTCAGAGCCAGGAAGAAGCTGACCAACTCCCTCCCCCTGGATATCTTCTTGTCCAGTTTCTAGGTTCTTATCAGTACTGATGTGAGGTCCACTTCTTGAGAGCCCCAAATAAAGGGGCTGGAGTGGTGAACAGGCTCTTCTTGCTGTCTGAGGCCTGGTGGTGACATTCACATGCTTTTCCTAGAGATGGAAATATAGAGAGGAAGAGGAAGAGGTTTCTGGCTCTCTACCACTTTTTTCCTCTCCTTCTCCCCTCCTTCCCTCACCCTTACTTCCTTATCCCCTCTTCTCCTCTACTATTGCCTCAGACTTTCAGGGACACCCCACTGGTTACCCTCACTGTACAGAAGGGCCCCCCTGTTCTTAGAGGGTGTGGCTACTACAAGGATGAGTGGGCCCAATGGGTCTTATCTCTTTCCCACCTTGTCCTCCCCCACTCTAGCCTTGTTTCAATTTGACCCAACCATAGAACAATGAACATAATTCTGTGTGTGTCTTTCACCTGGTAGAATTCATTCCATCAACCTCACACCAGCCAGTCCTGTTGGGCAGATGTGGTACCTGTTTGATCACTAGAGAGCATGAAGCTTTCAGGAGTTTGGTACTGAGTCTCATATGAGGTTAGCATCTGGCTAGAACAGGATGCCTGACCCTGATTCATGGTCCGGCGTTCCTCCCATAGCCTGTGTGGCCTCAGGCCCCATGCCTCGGATTGGCAGACTCCCAAAGGACATGGTTTCACCTTCCACTTCTTTCTCCACACTTGGATCTATCCACAGGACAAAGGCTGTACAAAGTGCAGGGAGGCCTCCTGAGTCAAACCTGTCTTTCCTGAAGGTTGATTCCCCAGGTCTCCCCCCTTACATTGTCCTGAAGTGCAGCCAGGACCCAGCTCCGCAGATTCCCGAGCCTGGGCCTGAAGGAAGAGTGCTTGGGGGATTCTAGGGAAGAGGTGACAGGCAAGAGCCAGCAGAGGAGGAGCGCTAAGCTCCCCTGCAGCACCCCCAGAGAACTCTGCTGCCAGGATGCAGAGAGGCGGTGGAGGCAGCTATGTGTGTGTAAAGTCACACCCAGTCCTTCCCTGCTCTTGCCCCTGAAGTGCCACTTTGCCAACTCTTAGACTTTTATGTGACAATCCCAGTAGTTAACTGGGATCATACCATCACGGGGAGTCAAGAAAATTAGTCAGCCAAACGTACCTGGAGGGTGTAAGCTGAGCCCAAGATACTAGGGAAAGAGGTATCAGGATTACATGCTTGTTCAAGATGATTCCACCTCACCCTGGTGGGTAGGTAGCAGGAGTGGCAAAAGCCTCTCTTTAAGATACCATTTCAGTGAAAAGGTGCCAATTCAAGCCTGAGCCATCTTATTCAATTCCTATTTTGCAGTGTCTTAGGGAAAACTGAGAATGAAAGTGACCTTGAGCAAACTACAATCAGCTTGTCTATTCACTGTTTGTTCCTGGTCTTTTCCTTTCTCATTCTCTCAAAGGTTTTTGTTGCTGTTGTCGTTTTGGGGTTTTTTTTTTGGGGGGGGGCATCTGAATAGTTCTAGGTTTTCCTCCATGCCAAACTCAACCGTTTTTGGATTTACACACAGAGACTTCCAAACCACAGTTCAGAAGTGATCTGGGAAGGAAGGAGTGGTGGGCAAGGCAGGAGCTGGGGCTTGGTGGCGGTGACCAGTGGTGGCAGTGCCTGGTTGTGGAGCCTTTATATTCTCTCTCTGCAAGAGGCTGCGTGTTTGATTTGGGTGGAAGCCAATCAGATGCACTGGATCAGGGCGTCCTAGTCCAGGAGACAGGGGGTTATTTGTCTTCTCTGTTTGTCCTTTTCTCTGGGAGGAGGGAAGGGCTCAGAAAGCGGGAATGGAGCAAGCAGAGAAAAGACAGTCAAGTTCTGAAAGAGTACAATGGGGTGAACTCCTGTTACTAGATCCGTCCCAGTGAAAACCCTGTAGCTTGTCCATCTTGAAGAGTGGAGGAGGAAAGGGAAGATGAATCGCGGAAAAAGGCAGCAAGTTCTAGGTTTGACTTAACAGCTGCCTTCTGCACGGTCTTGGGCAAGTCCCCTTCTCTTCCATCTCCTCTTTGTCTGGTAACAGAGGAGGCTAAACACCCTGAAGTCTCCTCCAGTCCTGAAAGTTTATGATTCCAAAAACACAAAACTACTGGTGTGTGGTTGCTCAGTGGAGATAAAAGAAGGCTAAGAGGCAATATGAAACTCAGGACATTTCTAAATGAATGTTTATGGAGGTAGACCTCTCCCTGCATTGATAGCAAACAAAAAAAGAAATGTGCTTGCTTATTCTGAGTGTTGGAAAGGTTCTATATCTTTTTTTTTTCATGTATTTTCTTTCTTTTAAAAAAATTTTATTTATTTATTTTTAGAGAGGGGAGAAGGGAGGGAGAGAGGGAGAGAAACATCAATGTGCAGTTGTCTCTCACACACCCCCTTAATGGGGACCTGGCCCACAACCCAGGCATGTGCTCTGACTGGGAATCGAACCAGTGACCAACCCTTCTGTTCGCAGTCTGGCACTCAGTCCACTGAGCCACACCAGCCAGGGCAGAAAGGTTCTACATCTTCATGGGAGAGGTTACATAGTATGTGCACATGTCAAAATTTATTAAGCTGTTTATTTTATTGCCTGTAATTTATACCTCAGTAGAAAGCTTTTAAAAGTGAACTTGAACTCCAAAAGGAGTTTAGATTTTAGAAAGAACTTCCTGACAAGAGGGACATTAGAGAAGTGAACTTCTACCCAGGAAGTTAAGAACCTCCCTTCTCTTGAGAACTTTTATTATCCACCTGTTCTGAAGGAGGAGGTGGAGAACTAGGAAAAAATAATATAACCTCTCTTGGAGAGCTTCCCATAATCCTCCCATCCTCAGAAATTCCATGTTGCCTCCGAGGGGCAAATCCTCCTTGCTATCTCATTTTTATCTCTCCTGTTGCCATTCTACCCACACACTCTGCCCTCTACGAAGCACAAACCTCTTTAAAGCTTTGATGCTCATGGTATTGAAGGGGACCCTATTTCCACCTTCTCAAGGGCCATTCTCTCCCCCTCATCCTGTTCGGTTCTCGCTGGGGATGTCAGTTCCTCTTCTAAACCCACCCCACCCAGGCCTCTTTTCCGGTGATGTGTGCCAGCCAGTCCTGTACCCCACATCCCCAGCTGTTGACATTTTGTTGCCATTACCCACGGGATAAAGAAAGGGGCCCTGTTGTTCAACAATGGGGGAAAGATTAGGACAATAGGAAATTGTGCTTTGATGGGGTGGGGACAGAGACGGAAAGGACAGACAGATGGACAGATCGGGGGCTGGACAGAGGGGTCGGGTTTCTTGAAGCGGCTAGAGGACCTGAGAGTCTGGTTCCCACCTTGAGAGCCTCTTCCCGGAGGCAATGCGCACCCAGGCACCGAAGGGCAGAGGTGAGGACTTTGTTGGGAAAGAAGGAGGGGAGGGGTGTTGTGTTCCCACATTGCTCTTCTGGGTTTTCTAAGCTCTGGTCTGTTAAGGAGTCAGAGCCCTGAAAGCAAGATCATTGGCCTAGCAGCTCAGCCTACAGATGAGGCCCATATAGAAAAATGGAGGCATCTGGAGCTTGACAGCTATGGATCTTTGAGACTCATCCCTATGCTCATTGGTCCAACATCCTTATATCTACCAATCAATCAACTCTTCTCTGGTCAAAGATGAAATGAGGCACTTCGCTGTCTGCACTCTTCCAGGTGATCATCCCTGGTTGCTTCCTTTACTCCACACCCCTTAGTGGGTCCCCAGCCAATACCCCAAGCCCAGCATCTTCCCCTGGGCCCAGGACAGTGAGCAGTGCAGACAGAGTGTCTGGTCACAAGGCTGGACACAGGTCACTTAGCCTAGTGCTAGTGGAATAATGGGTAGTGGAGTTCTTGCACCCTGGCTCCTTCTGTGAGCTCACGGCAGAAACCTTTCCTTGAAGATGTACAAGGAGTTACTGCACTGACCAGGTGCCTAATTCCAGGGCTGTAAAGTGTCTGGACCTCCCAGAGGCCCAGGCAACTCCTTTACTGGGAACCTTTTCCTCCAGCAGGACAAAAAGCTGCCAATCACTGCTCCCTCCATCTCTGTGAAGAGACCATCTTCTAACAGGTAGGCACCGGAGGTGTTGGCCTCTCTCATCCTCTGTAGGAGTATGAAAAAGCTTGCTCTAAAATACAAAAATACAGATCAGTAATTAGGAGCTTAAGCCTCAGTCAGATCTGGATTCAAATCCCAAAACACTCCTCCTCTTACAAGCTCCTCTTATGCCCTCCTCATTCAAGTTTACTAAAATGTATGCACCTTTGTTTGAGCATATAAAATGGGATTGGTAATTGTTCCATAATTGTTTGTAGACTTGCTGAGAGGAGTAAATATAGAAGCATGCATGTGAAGTGCTTAGAGCCATTTCGGGCACATTAAACTGGCTAATGCTAGCTATTACTAGTGGTCCCTCAGTAAATCTCTGTTCCCACTTGTCGTTCTGATTACCAGGTTATCCCTTCCGTACAGCAGAAGTGGTTCCCTCACTCATATCCCTGACCCAGATACTTTCCTTTTAGCCACTGGGGAGTGGCTAACCCCCATTTCTCATTCTGCAACGTTGTCTTTGACCTTCATTTGCAGGAAGGTGGAGTTCAGCTCCTTAACTTTCTGACCCCTCCTCAGTGTTCTTTCCCCCTTCCCATGTCCCAGCTCTCCTTCTCAGAAGTCCTTAATACAGGTTCATTCATTCACACATGCGCGCACGTGCACACACACACACTAATTTAGTGCCTACTGTCTGTCAGAAACTATGCTGGGAGCTGCAGAAATGAGCTCACGTATACACAGCACTTACTACACATCAGGCACTATTTTAAGCAGTTTATATATATTATTTTCATCAAATCCTCACAGCTACTCAGTAAGGGAAGTGTGTATTACTGTCCATATTTTACTGATGAGGACATTGAGGCAGAGAAAGGTTACATAGCTTGTTCAAAGTCATGCAGTTAGAAAGGGGAGGAGATTTTTAAAGTCAATAAATCTAGGTTAAGGGATCTTCAGTTTTTAAAAGTGGCCAACGTGAAGAATAAATGCAATAAAGGGAAAAATAACTACTGAAATAGATAATTGTGTTTGAAATCTTTTATTTTTATTTATTTTTAGAGAAAGGGGGGAGAAATAGAGGGAGAGAAACATCAATGTGTGGTTGCCTCTCACCTGCCCCCAACTGGGGACCTGGCCTGCAACCCAGGCATGTGTCCTAGACTGGGAATATAACCCCTAATCTTTTGGTTTGGAGGCCAGCACTCAATCCACTAAGCCACACTACCCAGGGCTGAAATCTTTTGTATAACTATTTTGTTATACTTTATAACAGTGGAATGACTGGAAACCTTAACTACATATGCTTATGTATTACTTTTAAATTCACATTGTTGGTTTTGCTGCTAATAAAAGTACTTCTAAGGAAAAATAGTCCCTAGTCCAGTGCAGTAGGGAAACCAGACAAGTGGATCACAGTGCACCACAATGTGGTAAACTGGGAGGGGGGGAGGGGGTGGGGAGAAAAGGCTTCCCAGAAGAGGTGAGGCCCAAACTGATGCCTGCGAGGAGGCGAGAGTGAATTTGGGCTGTTTTGGAGCCAGAAGGCCAACATGTGTGGAGTGTAGTGAAGAGGACACAGTGGTGCAGAGACTGGGTCGCAGAGGCTTGCAGGCTGTGGTTCGGAGACTCGGCTTTATTCTCAGGGCAACAGGGAGCCACTGTTTTAAGGAGAGTGACCAGATCATATTTACTCCAGCTTCAGATGGGAGTGGGTATTGGGAGAGGATAGAGACTGGAGTTGACAATGCAGCTGGGAAGACTTGGGAACTGGCACTTGAGAAGGTGATAGGTAGAGAAGCTGCTGACTGAGGGGTGGGAGAGAGAGAGGGATGGGCTGCTGTAGGGGTGTGGTTGCTACTGACCCTTCCTCCCCCTCTCACCTTCCTTTGGCCACCAACATAAGCCACCTTTTCTGCCCCAATGGCTTCCAGCTGGACAGTCCTCTATGAGGAATCTCTGACGGAAGTTCCTCTCCAGCTCTGCTTTCCCTGCTCTGCCCCCATTCCCGCAGTCCTAAAGAATGGCTCACCCTTTTTGCCCTTAGATCCAGCTGGGCTGACTCCTCACCATGCAAGGCTGGCTCAACCTCCCCACACTCTGTCACTTCCTTCTCCCCTGGGCCTTCACCATCTTCCACAAAGCCCTGGGGGACCCAGGTAAGACCTCAGTCCAGTGCAGAATCTGAGGAACAGTGGGGGGAAGTCTCCAGGTGTGGGAAAGGTGAAAGGCAGCTGTTGGAGGTACCCAGGGAGCGAGAATCATTGCTGAGTGGGCAGTGGAGTAGAGGATGGGGCAGCCTGGGGAAGAGAGTCTAGATGGGCACTTGGGGCAGTAGGGGTTCGGGGGTTCCTGCCACTGTGGCCCCCTCTGCTCAGCATCCCACGGGGGCCCCCACTACCTCCTGCCCCCCATCCATGAGGTCATTCACTCTCGTCGTGGCGCCACAACCACGCTGCCCTGCATCCTGGGCACCCCGCCTCCCAGCTACAAGGTACGCTGGAGCAAAGTGGAGCCAGGGGAGCTCCGGGAAACGCTGATCCTTATCACCAACGGACTGCATGCGCGGGACTACGGGGCCCTGGGGGGTCGAGCCAGGCTGAAGAGGGGCCACCGGCTAGACGCCTCCCTGGTCATCTCGAGCGTACGCCTGGAGGACGAGGGCCGGTATCGCTGTGAGCTCATCAACGGCATCGAGGACGAGAGCGTGACGCTGACCCTGCTCTTAGAGGGTGAGGCCCTTCGTTCGGTTCCAGCCCTCTCCTCTCTTATGGCGGTGGTGTAGGGGGGTTGTCGGGGTCTCCCAAAGATCCTTCCTCAGCATCCCCCCGGCTCGTTCCTGCGGTCCACCCCTCCCCCGCTGCTCTCTGCTAGGCTGCGCCGCCTTTTCTTTTCCCCTCCGGCGTCCGCCCCCTCCCCAGGTGTGGTGTTTCCGTACCAACCCCGCCGAGGCAGGTACCAGTTCAATTATTACGATGCGAAGCAGGCGTGCGAGGAGCAGGACGGACGCCTCGCTACTTACGCCCAGCTGTACCAGGGTGAGCTGCCCCGGGGCGCCGCCTAAGCCCCTCCGGGCTGTCACCAGCGATCTCGGCGGAGGCGACCTCCGGCTCTGGCTCCGGCCGGTGACGCCTCTACTCCCCCATCTCCTGCCAGCGTGGACCGAGGGGCTGGACTGGTGCAACGCGGGCTGGCTGCTCGAGGGCTCCGTGCGGTACCCTGTGCTCACCGCGCGCGGCCCCTGCGGCGGCCCCGGCCGGCCCGGCATCCGCAGTTACGGGCCGCGCGACCGGAAGCGCGACCGCTACGACGCCTTCTGTTTCACGTCCCCGCGCGCAGGTGAGGGGCGGGGCGGCCGCTGCGGTGCGGGCGGGCGGGCGGGCGGGCGAGGGGCAGCGAGGGGCGCGCTGCGGGGCAAGGACTGTGAGCGGGGCGAGTCTGGAGAATCGGGGCTGGCGGGAGGGTGGTAGGACGCGGGAGGCTTCGACGTGTCTCCAGGCCTGGCGCGCGCCGCTCCGCCCGCCCGCTCCAGCCCGCCTCCCGCAACCCTGCCCGCGCTCCCACCCAGCCTGGCCCGGCGCCCCGCAGCCCACCTCCACACCCCGTTCCCTGGGAGCCGGAATCCCCGCTGCAGCCCTTCCCGTCCCCTTCCTGCTCTCGGCCGGTGACGCTCTCCGATCCCCAGGCCAAGTGTTCTTCGTGCCCGGGAGGCTGACGCTGTCTGAAGCCCACGCGGCGTGCCGGCGGCGCGGGGCCTCGGTGGCCAAGGTCGGGCACCTCTACGCCGCCTGGAAGTTCTCGGGTCTGGACCAGTGCGACGGCGGCTGGCTGGCGGACGGCAGCGTGCGCTTCCCCATCACCGCGCCGCGGCCGCGCTGCGGGGGCCTCCCGGATCCCGGGGTGCGAAGCTTCGGCTTCCCCCAGCCCCAGCAGGCCAACTACGGGGCGTACTGCTACTCCGAGTAGGGCCCACGGCACAGCCTCCCGCGCGCGAGAAAGCCTGGGAGTCGTGGCAGGGGCGTCCCCGCCGCCTCTCTCCCGAGAGCCTCCTCTCCCGCCAGAGGAGGAGCAGCCCCTCCTAACCCGCCTTCCTGGCGGCGGGCTTCGGGCCGTAGATCCCGGCTGGTCGGGAGTCGGGAGGGGAGGTAGTGGAGTCCCCGGTGGCGTTGTGCAGCCACGACCCTCGCATCTGCGGATCAAGGCCCCGTGGCGTTTTGCGTGCCCCCAGCAGACGACTCGGCCCCTGCTAGAGGGCGGGAGGGACGCCCAGGGGACATTAACTGACCTCTGTATACAGCAATAAAATAACGGGAAGTTTTTGTGTTGGGCGAAGCTATAAGCGCGGCGAGGCTTTCGGGATAAGGGGAATTAATTCGGGCCCAGAATGGTGACTGTGCCCGGAGGGGTCACTGCCGCTTAGGGGCGAGCCTGCGGGAGAGGGGATGGCGAGGAGATAGCACCGAAAGGGCGAAGGAGAGTTGAAAACACAATGAGCTACTTGGCCGGGTATAAAACGGGGAGATCACAGGGTGTTGAGCCAAGCACCACAAGGGGGCGCCACAAATGCACCTCAGATTCAAATCTTCCAGAAGAGCTCCAGCCCCTAGACCTACCCCCTGGGCACCACAGAACAAATAAAAGAGGGACCTAAAAATATTTCAAAATGTGTTTGTATCCTGCCAGTCTCCTAGAACGGTTTGCAGATGTATTATTAAAAAAAGAAAAGTTACACCGTTGTTACAGTTACCGGGAAATTAACCCTACGGAAGGAGGAGGCAGCAAACACCGCATCAGCATGGTTCAGCAGGGTTGATACTGGGGGTGATGGTACTTTTGGTTCAGCGTTCACCATCACCATGGCCACCAGAGAAAAGAGGGAACTGGATCAGGAGTGGTCTTAATATCTGGTGAGAGGAAACATACCAGTAACTCAACATACGAACTCGAATGTCAATTAATTTTTCATATATATTATTTTTTACTGTTCAGGCAATCTAACTGCAGCACAAAAGCCTGGTCTAGAGACTAGTAATGACTGGAGCAAAGGATATGTCCCTTCTAATAAGCTTGATGCATGTAGGGTTGTTTTCCAAGAGTGTTCTCTCTATAACTGTTTAAGAGAATTCATCTCGTAGGACTGTACAATGTAAGAGACAGAGAAGGATCAAATGAATAGAATCTTCAATAACCCTCAGATAGCAAATGAAATATTTGTGTCAGTTCTTAAGCTTTGGTTTTATGGAATTGGGCATCGGATAATATCTGCCTTCCAAGTTTGTGATGAGCGGTATTTTATTTATTTTTTTATTTTATTGATTATGCCATTACATTTGTTCTATTCCCCCCTCCATTCCCCTCCACCCTACACACCCCTCCCCCACCATCTCTCCCCCTTTAGTTCATGAACACGTGTCTCAAGTTCTTTAGATTCTATATTTCCCATACTAATTCTTGGCCTCCCCCCTACTTTCTACCTACCCTCTATGCTACTTATTTTCTGTACCTTCTCCCCCCTTCTCCTCCTCCCACTCCCCTGTTGCTAACCCTCCATGTGATCTTCATTTCTATGGTTCTGCTCCTGATCTAGCTGTCCTCTTAATTTGCTTTTGTTTTAGGTGTGGTTGTTAATAACTGTGAGTTTGCTGTCCTTTCACTGTTCATCTTTTTTATCTTCTTTTTCTTAGGTAAGTCCCTTTAACATTTTATATAATAAGGGCTTGGTGACGATGAACTCCTTGAATTTGATCTTATCTGAGAAGCACTTTATCTGTCCTTCCATTCTAAATGAAAGTTTTGCTGGATAGAGCAATCTTGGTTGTAGGTCTTTGGTGTTCATGACTTGGAATACTTCTTTCCAGCCCCTTCTTGCCTGTAAGGTCTCTTTTGAGAAATCAGCTGACAGTCTTGAGATAATGCATGTACTGGGTAGTACATGCCTGCTACATAAGAAGCATGCAGTAATGGTACCTATTATAATCAATGATTGTTATAACAATAATAGAACAATAATTATTATTATTCAGGTTTTTATTAGATAGCTTGTAGGATTTGGTTGCCATAGCTCTTCTGGGTTTTCTAAGTTCTGGCCTATTATGGAATCAAGAGCCTAGAAAGCCAAAATCCTTGGTCCAGCAGTTTAGGCTGCAGGCAGACATGGATTTTTTTCAGTTTGATGCCTTCAGACTTTGTCGAGAGACCAATGAGAAATTGTCATGGGAGGAGCTTCCCATTTGCTACAAAGCTTTGTCTCTTTACCCATAAAAAACACATGACCATCCCTTGCCAGGATGGCTCAGTTGGTTAGAGCATTGCCCCATGCACCAGAAGATTGGGGGTTTGATTCCCAGTCGGGGTACATGCCTAGGTTGTGCATTTGATCCCTGGTCAATTTCAGACACACAAAAAAGGGAATTGTGTAATGAACCACTTCATCATGCAGTTTGACCATTTCAAATCCCTGCCCTTCTTATTTCATCTATCCCTGTGCTCACATTTGTTTTGGCTGGAGTATTTTAAAGCGAATACCAGACAGTCTATCGTTGCACCTATAATATTCAGCATGTATTTCTAACATACAGAGATTTAAAAAATATTTAATTTATTTATTTACTTTTAGAGAGGGGATGGGAAGGAGAAAGAGTGAGAGAGAAACATCAATGTGTGGTTGCCTCTCACTCACCTGCTACTGGGGACCTGACCTGCAACCCAGGCATGTGCCCTGACTGGGAATCAAACCAGCAACCCTTTGCTTCACAGGCCCGTGCTCAATCCACTGAGCTACACCAGCCAGGGCCAGAGATTTTTTTTTTAATAACCATAATTCCATTATCAATCACAGTCTCCCAACAAAATTAAACTGTGTTATCTGTTACTTAGTTAATGCTAAATTTCCCCTGAATATCTAAAAAATAGCATTTTATAGTTGATTTGCTCAAACCAGGATCCAACTAAGATCTACATATTGTACTTGATTAAAATTTTGGTTAAAATTTTTAAAGTATATTTGAAGCTATAATATTTACTACTCCATTTTGTCTGTGCCATTTTGTTTGTTTGTTTAAGAAACTAGATCGTTTTCCTGTCAAGTTTCCCACACTTTGGATTTGGCTTAGTATATCTTTATAGTGTCATTTAACATGTTCTTCTGTCTCCTATAATTATATTTAGAAGCTTGATTTAATTTGCATTCACTTTTTTCTTTTCTTTTTTCTATTTTCTGACCCCAAGTTCATTCCACACAAAATAACACCTCCAGCTCTACTGAGGTGGTTAACCACATCCATGACCAAACCCACCTCTAAACTGGAATTCAGTTGCTGACCCAGCCCCGGCCTCAACTTTCTTGTTAGCACCAGGGGGCGCAGCACTCGTCTGTAAGTGTCTCTGTCAGCTTTCCCTCCTGTAAGCCTTGTGGGTTGCTCACCCTCCAGACCTTTGGGCCTCGACCTGCCAGTCTCAGGCTGGCTGCAGTGCACGGTGGCAGGCATGATCTCAGGAGATAGGTGGAGGTAATTGTGGAGATACTGGATGCCCTCATTGGTAAGGTACCAGTAGAAATGTCTCCAGGCAAACTGTTCTTTCATGCAGCCTCGTGATGTGAGAGACTGCATGGCCTTCATGACATGAAGACTCGGCATGTTCTTGTCTGCTGGCTTGGGGTGTCTAGGCGTGTGAACATCCTTCTTGGCCACCATCACGCCCTCCTTAAAAAGGAGTTCATAAATGGCAATACAGTTCTTCTTGGGCATCAACATCGCAGCAACTGCTGTGTATGGGCCTGGAGCTGAAAAGCCACTTTTTTCCTCAGGAATATTTCATAAGTGATACAATATTCTTCCTCTCTCATCATATCAGGATGCACAGGGTGTCTCGTTGCTGTACTCAAATAGCGATGCTAAGTTTGATTAGTAAATTCAGGTGGTACTAGTCTGATTCATTCATTATAAAGTTTCTTATTGTATTAGTTTTTTATGACTATTGTAACAAATTAGCACAAACTTTGTGACTTAAGACAACAGAAATTAATTATTTTTATGTTCTAGAGGTCAGAAGTCCAAACTCAAGGAATTGACAGTGCAGTCTTCCCTCTGGAGACTCTGAGGAGAATTTCTCCTTGCTCATTCTATCTCGTGGTAGCCAGTAGCCAGTCACTCCAGTCTCTTCCTTGGCAGTCATGTCGTCTCCTCCTCTTTATGTGTCCGTGTCTTCTCTTCTGTCTCTCATAGGGACCCTTGTCATTGGAATCACCCCACCTGGCTAAACCAGTGTAATCTCATCTCAAAACCATTAACTGAATTTAGGGAATGAATTCATGTAGTGAGTTACATCCACAAAGACCCTTTTTCTAAACAATTAACATTTACAGGTTTCAGGGATTTAGATGTGGACATATCTTTTCGTGGCCACTATTCAACTCACTACACCCATTAACTGTTTATGTAAGGGTTATTGCTGGTCATCACTTAGAGCTATTATTTCATTAGGAGTGCAAAATGGAGATTTTTTTTTTGTGTCTTCCTCCTACATTTATTAGCTGTAGTCTATAAAGAAAAAATTTCCTCATTAACTATTTTGTTACCCTGACATATAACTCATTCAGGAAATGTGGACTTAACACCCGATTCTCTTCCATTTTTCTTAGATTGGTGCTATGGGCTATGTTTTGTGTTCCTCCCGCCCCAAATTCATATGTTAAAACCCTAATCCCCAAAGCCATGGTGTATGGAGATGGTGCCTTTGGGAGGTAACTAGGTCCTGAAGGTGGAACCCTCGTGATGGGACTGAGTGACCTTGGAAGGGGCGAGGGAGAGCTCGCTCCTTCTCTGTTCTCCATCAGGTGAGAATGCAGCGAGCAGCCGCTGTTTGCCAACCAGGAAGCGGGCCCTTGCCAGACACCAGATCTGCTGGCCTCCGGAATTGTGAGAAACAAATGCTTGTTGTTTAGCCACCCCATCTGTGGTAATTTATCGTAGCAGCCCAACTGACTAAGACAACGGGGTTCCCCCAAAGCACATGTTGAATCAAGACTTGGAGTACACGCAGCTTGAGTATAAGACATTGAGCCCTGGCTGGTGTAGCTCAGTGGATTGAGTGCGGGTCTGGGAGCTACACAATCGAGGTTCAATTCCCAGTCAGGGCACATGCCTGGGTTGCAGGCCAGTTCCCGGCAGGGGACTCACGAGAGGAAACCACACATTGATGTTTCTCTCCTTCTCTCTTTTCCTTCCTCTCTAAAAAGACAAATAAATTTTTTAAATGTTGCAATTTCAAAAAAAAAAAAGTCTTACAATAGGAGGGCTAGTGGGGCAAACTATAGTAACCATTGCGGCAGTTGGTTCCAAAGCTGTAATCAGTATTCAACAGCTCCCTCCTCTGCAATTCATTTTGTTGGTCTCTGGGGTTTTCACAGTGCAAAACCCAGTCCTTCATCCTTGAAGGACTCAGCCTTCCATTAACATGCCCATGATAAGTGAACATCGCTGCAACTGCCTGTTCATGATTACCACTAGACAT